TTTTGGAAGAGCCGCCTGGAGTCCCGCATCTCTCATTTAGGCTCTTACAGTGGCGCCCACGTTTTAATTGGCAAACTCGGACTTATTGGCAGTAAGAGACCTCTCGGTGAACTCAGTAAAAAGCGGCCGCACGGATTAGGCACCTGAAACGAGGGTGACTGGGGCCCGGACAGAAGCTGCTGCTGGACAGTGCCTGGATCGGAGCCTCTATACACAGCGCCTGCTGCATAGCTGGACAGCAGGTGAGCACCGGGAATAATGGGGCAGAATAAGTCTGTTCCTCGGAGAGATGTGTATCAGCATTTAAAATCATTAGTTAAATCAAGTCCAAAATCCTTGCCTAAGCGAGAGCTCAAAGAGCTTTTTAAATGGACTATAACTCGTATCCCAAATGCTGACTCTGAAGCCTTCTATACCAGAGACTTTTGGGAATCTGCGGGGGTCAAATTATACAATGCTATCTCTCAGCGCGACAAAACAGCAGCGGAACTTCTCCCCGCTTGCCGAGTCCTTGTAGAAATCTTCGCCGCGAATGCCCCACCGCCGCGCCCCTGCCCCAGCCCCGTTCCACCCGCACCCTCGCAGCCGCGTCCCTCCGAGCGGGCCCGGCCGGCCTCTCCAACCACGAGGAAAGGAGGGGAGGGGGAGAAGAAAACAGCAACTGCCCATGCAGCAGGAGAGGCAGACGAAACTAACGATATCTCGGAGAGAGAGGGGAATTGCTTTATTCCAAAGCCAAGAAACCCCGAATACCAACTAGAAATATTTCCAAATAACGCCAGGGCTTGCCCCGGGAATAGAGATTTTTCAACTCAGAAAGAAATACCTAGCCCCGGGAATTCTCCGGCGCTGCTTCCTGGTTCGGAAGAATCCCCGCAGGGATCAGATTTCCAGCAGCCCGGCAGTCCCAGAACGGGGGTTCCTATCCCCCCTCAGGAATTAAAGAACCAGATTTACACAAGAGCAGCCTCCACGGCCCGGCACCTGTCCCTGTACAGCAGGGCCGGCGTGGGCTCCATGCCCAAGGTGCCCTGGAGCCGGCAGCCCTGCGGGGTCCAGCCCGGCCACTTCAGCCGCGGCTCGGGCACCGGGGCCCGCCGGGTGCTGCCCGCCATCGAGGCACCCAAGGCGGTCGAAAAGGACCAAGACGAGAGCCAGAAGATGACTCCACAGAGGCAGCAGGACCTGCACCTCATCGCTGCGCAGGTCGCCACTGGCACCGACAACCACTGAAGGAGCCAAAAAATCATCCCCCAGATCTCCTACTCCTAAAACTAGCAAAGCTTTGGAGAAAATTGCCGATGTTCTGCAAAATAGAGAAACGCGTCACTATGTTCCAGATAAACCTTTTTTCCTTGCAGTTCTAGGACAAATGCTGAGACAGTATGGCCTCATTTTCCAATGGGATTCCTCTCAAAATGATCCTTTGTTAATAATTGAATGGGTTTTTCTTTCTTACAGGTCATCAAAGACAATCTTCACATCTTTAGAGATGATTTCTCAAATTATCATTAAGGGCAGAGCAAGGCTTCTCTCTATAGCAGGTTGCGAATTTGTAATCATCTATTTACCTATGATTAAATCCTATTTTGATTGGGCCATGCAAAAGTCAGAAGATTTGCTCCATGCCTTGTTAGATTTTCCAGGTGTTTGCTCCATTCATTACCCAGCACACAAACTGATCAAAGCTAAATTGTGCTACAAAGAGAAACCCCTTATCAGTGAAGAACCTTTAGATGCAGTTACTCTTTTCACTGATGGGTCAGGACAAACACACAAAGCAGTGAT